CCGCCGGCTCTCTGAGTCGGAGCCGATTACCGAGCGTTCGGGAAGATGCTGCATATTCGTTTGCAGAAATGCCCTTGGGCCACGGGTTTTGTTGTTATTTTAATTTTGAGTCCTCTGGGACCCGAGGGGTTCTCAAGGCACTCGAGGGCCAGAGACACCTGCCTGAAGCTCCCAGCCAGGTCCCGAGGAACTCCTGGAGAAGAGTCAGAGAGTGCAGGTCCTTTAGAAGAGTTAGTCCCTGCGTTTTGAGAGTTTGCTCCCTTTATTTCCCCCGCCAGAGAGATGAGATCTAGAGATGCCTCGGCGAAGTGAGTCCCTATTTGGCCGTGTTAGTGACCTCCTTTGGTAGTCGCGTGCCAATTTTGGCCTCTGAAATTGAAAGCTGCCTTTTTACAAAAACTAATTACAATTTTAAATTAATTTCCCTAAAGGAAAGCAAAAGAAAGTGAAGAAAAAGTTATTTACCATTTGTATATAGAAAGAAGTGAAATATTTTTCAGATGTTCTACTTCATTTTGCATAACATTTGGCTGCCTTTGAACATTGCGTCAATTTTGGAGCTTAAAAAAATAAAAAATCAAAACCCTGACATGTTTTCTTCATAATAGTTATTTAGCTACGAATAATGTAGGAAAAACGAGCTTTCTAATCTATTCGAATTTTGAAATACCGTAATTTAAATGTTCATATATCGAGTTATCTTTTGCCCCTCCCCGATAGAAAAGTCAGGCTGCCTTTGGTTCAGTTGTTTTTTCTTCCGCCTTTGAGATTTGTATCTTTTAAAAACTTTTTTAAAAGCAGGCTCGGGTGTGTTTTATGTGAACGTATGTGTAACATTGGAAGTAGGATTTATGATAGTGAAAGTAAGAACCATTCAGTGAATGTAAAATGAATAAGAAATATGAATGAAAAGTATACATTAACTGTGCCAGTGATCAGTATTCCCTGTGGATATGTTTATAAAGGCCTTCTGGTTTAAAAAAAAAAAAGAGAGTTTCAAAAATTGTAGAAAGCAAGATGACACAGGTTTAAGAAAAATTAGTAAAATCAAACAAACCTCAACCTCTGACAAGTTCTGGAATGAAGCAGTGAAATGAGTGGAATGTGTTTAGATTCCAAAGCCAAGGGCATCTTTAAATATCCTGGTCACTCTAAGAATGTGATACCAATTCTCAAATGGTTTGAGTTAACTGATAAGTTTTCCTCTTTTATTAGTGAGGACCTTGCATCTTTATGGCAGTGGGAAATAAATCTCTACTTCTGGGGACAGAAATCAAAGCAGCAAGCTGGGCTGGGTGGCTCAGCCTGTAATCCTGTGCCTTTGGGAGGCTGAGGTGAGTGGATTGCCTGAGACCGCGGGTTCGAGACCCGCCTGGGCAGGTGAGACTTCATCTCTACAATAAAATTTTTTTAAAAGTTAGCCGGGCGTGGTAGTGCACGCCTGTAATTCCGGCTACTCGGAAGGCTGAGACAGAAGGATCGCCGGAGCCCAGGAGGTCGAGGCTGCGGTGGCCGGGAGTGGCCACTGCATTCCAGTCTGGGCGACGGAGTGAGACTCCAACTCAAAAAAATAAATAAATAAGACATTATGCTAGTTGCTGAGTATTCAATGGTGATAGATATAGTGCATGTTCTCCTATAGGAGTTACAATCTGGTAGAAGAGATAGATAATAGTCAAGTAAATAGACAAATATATAATAGAAAACTATAATATGTGGCATAAAAGGAAAAAAGCAGAGTACCATAATACATAATAACAGTGTCAGGGCAAGGGCACAGTTTTAGATAGTGTGATCAGGGAAGCCTGCTCTGGGTGGTGCTTTTAAGCTGAGATGTTGAAAGATGAGAAGAAATCAGCCCTGTGAAGATCAGTTAAAAACCTCATCAGTGGTGGAAACATTAGTGTGAAGGCCTAAAAGCAAAAGTACTAACTTAGCTGTCTCAGGAATTGAAAGAATACCAAATTAGTAACTTGTACTGAGTTTACAGTGTTTGTGAAGTGATTTCAGATTCAAGCTGTCTGTCACCCACTGAGCATGATGGTTTAGCTTCAACTTTTTCCCTTTTATGTGTTTTCTATATTCTTTTTTTTTTTTTTGAGTCAGAGTCTCACTCTGTCGCCCAGACTGGAGTGCCTGCCTTGACCTGCTGGGCTCCGGCTATCCTTCCACCTCAGCCTTCCAAGTAGTCAGAATTACAGTCATGCGCTACCACACCCAGCTGATTTTTTGATTTATTGTAGAGATGAGGTCTCGCTGTCCAGGCGGGTCTCGAACCCGCGGGCTCAGGCAATCCACTCACCTCAGCCTCCCAAAGGCGTGGGATTACAGGCTGAGCCACTGAGCCCGGCTTCTATGTTCTTTACTGTGCTACACTGAATAGTTTTCTGGGATGAATGTTAGATATGTTTGCAGAATAAGAATGTTATGTGTTATAAAGTGTATCAGTTAAGGTCCTGTCAGGAAAACAAGTCACACTCTGTATTTTAAGTAAGAAGAGTTTAATGCAGGTCATTTGAGGCTGACATACCTGTCAGAAGGGTGGGAGTAACTACTCATGGAATGGTCACCAACTCTCTTGTTGGGAGCAGGCCATGGAGGCCCACTGAGCGTTAGGAATCAGGAAGAGCCGTTGACCCCGAGACCACTAGGATGCGTTCGGGAGCTATTGACCCCATTTCCTCCCCCTTTCTACTCAGCACTAACCAGATTAAGCTCCTGTGAGCTCAAAACATAGAAACTCTGCGATCGGGATGAACACAAGCTAACTTTAGAAGCTCATTGCTCCCATTCTTCCACAAACTGCAGTTTTGGCTTTCACACAACTTATAATTCAAACTCGTGTCACATCTAAGAGCCTTAGTATTGGTCACAGGCTTCTGGGTCATGATCTTAGGATTTACTGAAGGTGTAAATTGTAGAATATAGTTTTAGAAGACAGCCATTTTGTTGGAAGAATGCGGCTGGGTTACTTGCAGGTAGCCCACTGTGAACTTTGGACTGGGCCACGTTCCAAACATTCTGGGATGGGCCACTTTCGTTTGTAAAGTAAATACTTAAACTTCTATAGAATTGTTTAACTTGGCATAAAATCAATCAGTTTAGGATGAAAAAGATTTATAGAATATGTCAGTCACAGATTAGGTTATCCTTTGTTATGGGATTTTAAGATTATCATATGAAAAGGGTTTAAAGGCAATCATTGATTAAGTTTTCATGGATTAAGGTTTCTGGTGGGTGGGGGACGCCCCTCCCACATCTGACTTTGTGTATAAAAGACCCATTGTAATTCCCAATAACACTCATTTGCTTCTGCACTAGACTGGAGTCCAGTCTCTTTCTTTCTCTCTTCTTCCCCCCAATCGCCAACACCATCTCCACCTTTGGGGTACCCTGAACCCAGCTAAAGCTGGTCTCTGGTACTCTCTCAGCCTTCAGCAGGAAAATGGGTGACTGTACCTTGTCCAGTAACTAGTACTAATCTCAAGAATGTCTAGGAAGCGCCTGCCAGCTCTCTCTGCAGCACCTACTCATGTGTTTCTGAAGAAACTCTTCCAGAAGTTTTGCCCCACCTCATGCTGGCTGTCTGTACATGCTTCTGCTTACAACTGGGTCCTGGAGAACAATGGCCTCTTCTTTCTGCTTTCTGAATCTTGTGTTCCTGCTAGCAAAATTGTGTAACAAAGAATAATTTAGAAAGGGATAATGATGTTGCCTGGGTGATGGTGATCCCAAGTTGCCAACAGACCATTCAGTGCATTTCACTTACTTTACTTTGATGAGCAAAAAAATTTGTGAGTTATCCATTAGAGATAATGATAAGAGAGGCCACTCCACCTTGTTTCCCAGATACTTGTATTATGGTAAGGTATGTATGGAAAATATGATATCATGCACTGGATGGTGCTTCAGATTATGTATTTATCTTGTAGTATGACACCACAACCTACATTGTGCTGCCCCTTCTGGCACTGTAATTGAGTCTTCAATAGTCATTCTACTGTTCTATTAAGCAAGCTACTTTAGAATAGTGGGGCATATATTATGATCACTGAAACCTATGGGTATAAAGCCTATTCCTGTGCTTCTTTTGTTGTAAAATGAGTTTATAGGTCAGAAATGATGTGTACTGGCAATGTATTGCTGTGTAACAAATGAACCTTGAGCTTAGTGGCTTAAAACAGCATTATATATTTCTCACAGTTCTGCGGATTGACTGGGACCAAATGGGTGGTTTTTAGTTAGGGTCATGCACTTTTAGTCAGATAGTGACTGGGGCTTAATCCTTCTTAAGGGTTGACTGGCTTGGACATCTAAGATTGTGTCTCTACTCACATGTCTGGTCCCTGGGTGCTTTTTGTTCTCTTTTCACATGACATCTCATCCTCCAAAGCTTTTTGGAACATGATGAGCTCAGGAAATCATATATGGCAGCTAGTTTCCAAAAAGCAGGAAGTGGGAGCTCAGACCAGTTAAGGGCATGACATCAATTTTACAATATTAAAATGGTCACAGCAGTTGCCCAGATTCAAGGGAATATAGAAAGTCCCATGGGAGGGAGGGAAGGCCGCATT